CGGAGGGGGGGGGGGGGGGGGGGGGGGGGTGGTAACCAGCTCACAATAAGGCAAACAGTGACAAATCGCACCCAGATCTAGGAGCCATCACTGCACAAGCTGTACCTCGTGTACTATATGACACACAGACTGGTACAGAGTGATGTATGTACATGAGATGACATCCTGCCCCATACAAGCTGTACCTCGTGTACTATATGACACACAGACTGGTACAGAGTGATATGTATGTACATGTGATGACATCCTGCACCATACAAGCTGTACCTCGTGTACTATATGACACACAGACTGGTACAGAGTGATATGTATGTACATGTGATGACATCCTGCACCATACAAGCTGTACCTCGTGTACTATATGACACACAGACTGGTACAGAGTGACATGTATGTACATGAGATGACATCCTGCCCCATACAAGCTGTACCTCGGGTACTATATGATACACAGACTGATACAGAGTGACATGTATGTACATGAGATGACATCCTGCCCCATACAAGCTGTACCTCGTGTACTATATGACACACAGACTGGTACAGAGTGATGTGTATGTACATGAGATCACATCCTGCCCCATACAAGCTGTACCTCGTGTACTATATGACACATAGACTGGTACAGAGCGATGTATGTACATGAGATCACATCCTGCCCCATACAAGCTGTACCTCGTGTACTATATGACACACAGACTGGTACAGAGTGATATGTATGTACATGAGATGACATCCTGCCCCCTACAAGCTGTACCTCGTGTACTATATGACACACAGACTGGTACAGAGCGATGTATGTACATGTGATCACATCCTGCCCCCTACAAGCTGTACCTCGTGTACTATATGATACACAGACTGGTACAGAGTGATGTGTATGTACATGAGATCACATCCTGCCCCATACAAGCTGTACCTCGTGTACTATATGACACATAGACTGGTACAGAGCGATGTATGTACATGAGATTACATCCACATAGACTGGTACAGAGTGATATGTATGTACATGAGATGACATCCTGCCCCATACAAGCTGTACCTCGTGTACTATATGACACACAGACTGGTACAGAGTGACATGTATGTACATGAGATGACATCCTGCCCCATACAAGCTGTACCTCGTGTACTATATGACACACAGAGTGATATGTATGTACATGAATGGAATGGAATGCCAACGGCGGCAGATCACATGCACAGCACCCAGCAAGAAACAAGTGAAAGCTGTAAGAGCCAGCCAGGCAATGAAGTCCTAATCCCAGCCAGCTCTCAATGACATGGTCCCCGGAGAGTTTGGGAACAGTCCGGCCATGCTTGACGTACCATCATGTTCCTCCCTAGATGAGCCTGCAGAACACCGCTCTTCCCGCATCCCTTGGAGCCAATGACGTTACACCGGAAGACGCTGCGCTGCGTCTGCCTCTTGTGCAGGTCGATCTTCTTGTCTCTGGTCACTGGAATGTCAGATAAGGGAACACTATGAGCATGTGAAGGATGATGATGATGACCCGACATAGCAGGGAGCGGACGCTCTGGTTACCTGTGATGGCTGTGGCTTGGGACTCCTGCTCCGTTAGTATGGAGTAGCCCAAATATCCCAAATACTCCAGACACCTCTGGACATCCAGGTAAGTCGTCAGTCTGCAGGATGGAGAGGACACACAATGTGAGGGGTCATGCTGATCCAGAGGTTCCAAGAATCACGGAACCAGAAGAAGAACACAGAACGGTAGTTCTGATCACACACACTGCAGAAGTATTTCAGAGCCAGGAAACCGGCATTTCCTACAGCAGATCGGCAATGGCCAGCTTCCTGCCTCTCTCAGGGATTACTTCCACTCTGCAGTACTGAGCTACGGCCTATGACATGTCATACTCACGTCCACTGGGAGAGGAAGCCCTGGTAGGTGATCCAGCCCTTGTCATTGGTGCAGACCGTGTTATTCACATCGGGGCCCCACGGCATGTAAGGAAAGACTTGAAATAGATCTTTCAGCTCCTCGGGGGATAAGGCGCAGTCTCTGTCCTATACAGACCAGAGAGACAGCCCTGGGTTATATACTTCCTGTACACAAGGCCTTGTTCCTAGTATTGGATGGATGGTAGGACCCCCCATCAGTCTACCCTCTTCCTGTCTGTGTCCCTTTGGGGGACCTTTCACTTCCTGTCCTGGTGACACAACAAGAAATCGTTGCAAAGTATGTGGAATCGCCTCTAAGACAGTTGTCACCAAAACAGGTGCCCCCATCGGAAGACTTCCCCTCACTTCATATTCTAGTGACAACTGAACTGTAACAAGACCAACACAGAGTGTATCACCCCAGTGGGGACACACACAGGAAGCAACCCTTCCCCCACTCCATCCAAAACTACATCAAGGTTTTCATACATATGTACCTGGCCATGTATAATAAGGTAAATTAATTTCTATATACAGCACCCCCTACCATATACGCACACAGCCCACCAGAGACACAGAGGACTATAGAGAGAAATAACCGGCATCGTACACTGTCCCTGTATCCTGTCCCCGGCCTCCCCATATACGCACACAGCCCACCAGAGACACAGAGGACTATAGAGAGAAATAACCGGCATCATACACGGTCCCTGTATCCTGTCCCCGGCCTCCCCATACACACACAGCCCACCAGAGACACAGAGGACTACAGAGAGAAATAACCGGCATCATACACTGTCACAGTATCCTGTCCCCGGCCTCCCCATACACACACAGCCCACCAGAGACACAGAGGACTATAGAGAGAAATAACCGGCATCATACACTGTCCCTGTATCCTGTCCCCGGCCTCCCCATACACACACAGCCCACTAGAGGGTCACAGAGGAGTGTCACCCCGACAAGGGGGCAGTGTAGACACCCGTCATCAGGAATCACTATGCTGGGATTTGGTCTGATGGGGGAGATTTGAGCACTGAACACATGTTCAAGAAAAGCCCCCACCACTTGACCTCTAACCCCAACCATAGGCTGACCTTCAGCCTAGCCACACCCACTTTATAAGAACTCTCATTGAGGAAAGTTTAAGAGGAATTACTGAGGGAATAAATATTCTGGCGTCAGCTCCAGGTCATCATCATATCCGAATCTCCTCAGAACAGTCCATGTGGTCTCATGTCTCCCCCTCTGGATGAAGAGTGTGTGCAGAAACAGGAACCCTGCAGAAAGGTCACAGGGGGTACAATAAGGGGTCACACAAGACGTAGCAGTAATGGGGGGCTCTAGAATCATCTGACCACATTGCAGAACAGTCTATTCATATGAGAACAACAGGGGGGACAAAACAGAATTCATTCAGGACAACCCAGGAGCCAAACAAATGCTTCCACTTAAGGCCCCATTCACACCTATGCGTATTGTAATATGCGCGACTGTCGCGCGACCGTCACGCGTTTTTTTACCGCGATTCGCGGTAAAAAAGTCGCGCGACCGTCGCGCGATTCCAAAGGCTACTTGGCAGTATACAAATGGAAAACGCCCTACAAAACGGACCAATACGCAGCAAAAACGCTCCGGGACCTTTTCATGCGTGGGCCGTTTTGTAGTGCGTTCGGGACGGGCGGAAATACGGACAGGTGGGAACGATACCATTGACTACAATGCTATTTATTTTTTTGACCGTTTTGTAGAGCGTTCATCGAGCGTAGGACGCGCTACAAAACGGTCAGGTGTGAATGGGGCCTTAGAGGAGGCCAGAAAAGGTCAGGATTTGGAGGAGGCGGCGGCCAGGAAAGGTCAGGATTTGGAGGAGGCGGCGGCCAGGAAAGGCCAGGATTTGGAGGAGGCGGCGGCCAGGAAAGGCCAGGATTTGGTGGAGGCGGCGGCCAGGAAAGGAGGCCAGGAAATGTCAGGATTTGGAGGAGGCGGCCAGGAAATGTCAGGATTTGGTGGAGGCGGCCAGGAAATGTCAGGATTTGGAGGAGGCGGCCAGGAAAGGTCAGGATTTGGAGGAGGAGGCGGCCAGGAAATGTCAGGATTTGGTGGAGGCGGCCAGGAAAGGTCAGGATTTGGAGGCGGCATTTTAAGTGCCCCACGGACTGGCTCCTGAGGAGAGGACAATGTACTGCACCGACTCCACCCCGTCTCACCTTTCAGGGTCAGCCCATTGTTGGACACTCCATCATGAACGTTCTTACGAACAACATTCTTCACATCTTCCAGGGCTTGCGGGGCGAGCGGAATATGAAAGCAGGTCCTCTGGAAGAGATCAGACAGTCAGTGAATTGTGGAGGGAGGTCAGAAAAGGGAAGTGATGGGGTGGGGGGGGGGGGTTTTTACACACGGG